TCACTGACTGTTTTAAATCTGGTTCTATTACTTCTATGTTTCTAAACTGGTGCCCCGCTTCGGATACTGTCTACAGCCGTAATAAAGGTAAAGATAAAGGGACCCCTGACCATTAGGTCCAGTCGTGGCCGACTCTGGGGTTGTGGCGCTCATCTCGCTTTATTGGCCGAGGGAGCCAGCGTACAGCTTCTGGGTCATGTGGCCAGCATGACTAAGCCGCTTCTGCCGAACCACAGCAGTGCACGGAAACATCGTTTACCTTCCTGCCGGAGTGGTACCTATTTATCTACTTGCACTTTGATGTGCTTTCGAACTGCTAGGTTGGCAGGAGCAGGGACCGAGCAACGGGAGCTCACCCCATCACGGGGATCTGAACCGCTGACCTTCTGATCGGCAAGTCCTAGGCTCTGTGGTTTAGCCCACAGCGCCACCCACGTACCTACAGCCGTGATATACTTAACTAAAACGTAGCTTGCACCATCTGAAAGGGAGATTTTTCTGCATGAGAAACTGAAGTAATTCCTGACCTTAAAATTAATTTAAACAGCAAATGTGTTTCAATAAATTTTATTAACAGAACTCTGCAATATGCGCACTGACCTCGTGCCAACATGATGACTTCTTACCAAAAGGGCTTTTCCTTGCCATGATAATTTTTCTTTTATGCTATGATGTCATCACATTGGGTTGCTCTGCATGAGAATCTGATGAAAAGCTCAGCTGATTCTCTTTGTTTTGCTAACATAGGAGCCATTCCCTTTCAATGGGTGGGCAAGAGAAGCAAAGGTAATCATAGTTTGGATGGAGACTTACAATTTGGTGGCTTCCACGGGATTTGTACATTAATGAAATAATTCCCTGTCTCTCTTCTGGATGGGAAGACGCCACATAACGAACTGTTTGATATATCAAGGGCTTGAATAGTTTGTCCATATTGTACAGGAAAGGTTTGTGGTTCAGGTTTAAGAGCAAGCATAGGCAAACTCGGCCTTCCAGACGTTTTGGGACTACAATTCCCACCATCCCTGACCACTGGTCCTGTTAGCTAGGGATCATGGGAGTTGTAGTCCCAAAACATCTGGAGGGCTGAGTTTGCCCATGCCTGATTAAGAGGCATTGGCAGATGTGTAGGAAAGACCAAAATACCTGCCTTGGTCTTGATGGGCTCCTTTTTAGCTTTGTTAAAGGTAAAGGACCCCTGGATGGTTAATTCCAGTCAAAGGCGACTATAGGGTGTGGTGCTCATCTCGCTTTCAGACCAAGGGAGCCAGCGTTTGTCCACAGACAGCTTTTCGGAGTCATGGGGCCAGCATGACTAAACTGCTTCTGGTGCAACGGGACACTGTGACGGAAACCAGAGCGCACAGAAACGCCATATCCGCTCCACTTCCCAGTGGGGAGGAGTTGTGGTGGACCGCATGGCAACCCACTCCCTCCCGTTGCCTGGGAGATCCCGGCCACGTCAGAGCCCGGCCAGCCAATCTGCTGGCTGGGGGGGGGCGATATTGCAGAGGGCTTGAGCCATTGGTTACAGATGTGAGGGTATTTGGCGGCGAGCCTTTGGGCTCTTGTGGCGGTTAGGCATTGTTTGACCTTGTCTGGGGGAGGGGAGGTGTGGCCATCACCTGCCCCTCCATTCTTAAGGGTATTCCATTAAAGGAATCCAGGGGTGTTGATCTTGTCCAAAGCCTGGCTGGGGGCTAGGGCCTTGACACGACCCCGATGGGAACACCAGGGGGAGCTTGAGTTGGTCCGGATCGACAGGGCTCCCCCTACCGGTGGCTTACCCTTACTGGACTTCCTGCACAATGGGCAGGAGTCAGATGTAGTCAGGTCCAATCAATGCCTAAGCCAATACTGCTCACATTCTGTAATTCAATAAAGTTGTGGCCAAAACTTGCCCAATAACATAAACCTAATATCTGTGTCCTTATGTGAGTTATTTCCAACGAGGGGGTGGCTGCGGGGTCTCGACACGCAAATCCGCTCCACTTCCCAGTGGGGAGGAGTTGCGGTGGACCATGTGGCCACCCACTCCCCGTTGGGGGCAGGGGACTTTGTCCCCCGTTGCCTGGGGGATCCTGGCCACGTGAGAGCCCGGCCAGCCAATCCGCTGGCTGGGGGGGCATGGTCGGGGCCGTTTAAACTGAGGAGTGAGCCAGAGGACTTCCTCTTTGGCTCGCTTCCTCAATCACCCTCCCTCCCTCCCTATTTTGCAGGTTAGGCAATGGCCTTGGTATGGATTTCGGTTGGTTGCCTTGGTTGTCCGAGGGGCCTGGTAGGAATTTTCCCACTTGGCAAATTGGCACTGGCCACTTGGTTTTCGCCTACCTTGTAGCAATCGTCACAACTTTGTTAGGGTTGCGGTTAGGCATTGTTTGACCTTGTGTGGGGGAGGGGAGGTGTGGCCATCACCTGCCCCTCCATGGTTAAGGGTATTCCGTTAAAGGAATCCAGGGGTGCTGATCTTGTCCAAAGTCCGGCTGGGGGCTAGGGCCTTGACACGACCCCAATGGGAACACCAGGGGGAGCTTGAGTTGGTTCGCATCGACAGGGCTCCCCCTACCGGTGGCTTACCCTTACCGGACTTCCTGTACAATGGGCAGGAGTCAGATATAGTCAGGTCCAATCAATGCCTAAGCCAATACTGCTCACATTCTGTAATTCAATAAAGCTGTGGCCAAATTTGCCCAATAACATAAACCTAATATCTGTGTCCTTGTGTGAGTTATTTTCAACGAGGGGGTGGCTGCGGGGTCTCGACACGCAATTACCTTCCCGCCGCAGTAGTACCTATTTATCTACTTGTGCTGGTGTGCTTTCGAACTGCTAGGTTGGCAGAAGCTGGGACAGAGCAACAGGAGCTCACTCCGTCGTGGGGATTCAAAATGCTGACCTTCCAATCAGCAAGCCCAAGAGGCTCAGTGGTTTAGACCACAGCGCCACCCGTGTTAAACCACAGCGTCAAGACCATATTGTTTTAGGTTTTCATTCCACATGACACCAGAGCGCTCATGTATGCAAAATGGAGGCAACAGGAGAAACCCATTTATCAGTTAGTAGCATCAATAGAATAAAGCGAAAAAAATATTTTCCTGGACTGAATTTTGCAATGCTCCCCCACATTTGAATCTTTCTGCCACCACATAGAACACCAGCATGTTCAGATGGAAAAATTCAGCCTAGATTTCTACCTTGCGTGATTTTCTTCAGGAGTGATTTTCACCCAGGGGTGCTTTTTATTTTACAACTTAACCATCAGGAGAATGAAACTTACCAAAGACAAAAGGGCCTTCGAAAGATAAACACACATGCCCTTAATTTACAGCCCCATCAATTAAAATTGCCCCCAGTGATTATTTAACTTAAGAATGATTGATTAATTCCCTTATTAAACTAATTAAAAGTTGAAAGCTGATCTAAACATATTAAAGAGCTGTGCAAAAGAGGTTTGCTTTTTTTAAAAAGCGGCCCGCTGCTTATTTAGATATCGTCTAATAATTTTTGTAATGTTTACATCAGAAAGAATGTCATAGTTTGAGGCTCCAGCAGCTCAGGGCTGCTGAAAGCTCTTTGTTTATGAATTTATTCCCTCCCCCCCCATTCCTCTCACCCCCATGCAATAACAATGTGGGGTCACAAAAACAAGAAGCTGTGCCACAACCCCTTTTTTCTTACGGTATTAGCTCAATTTCCAAGCTCAAGGGATAAAAAGGGACGACAAGGAAGGGGCCGGTTGTTGGGTTGGGGAGTTATTCACCCCTCTTTTCTCCCCCAAAGCCTTCATTCAGCGTGTTGGTGAATGGTGGCGAAGCTGAGCCGATCAGACCACAGGGCTTTGAATCCAACTCTGCCACTTATGAAAAGGTTGCATTTTTGTGTGGGCAGCAATCGAGTGGCGAGGAAATGAGCCTCTCTCGTTCTCTCAAGTGGGAGATCATTAGTCTCTCGGCGTTAGGGAAAAGGTGAAGCCGTGGTGACATTCGACTTGTGGAGTCAGCAGCGAGCACGGAAAGGGGATGTTTGGAAAGGGCCACGGAAACAAACGAGCCTTGTGTTCATTGTTCCGCGGCAAACAGTGGAAAATGGCATTTTCAACTGGTCGGGGCCCGGGGAGCTGAATAATAACTGCCTTTCCAGGCAAGGAAATATCTTCAGCATCGTTACAATGTGGAAAGTGTCAAGGATGAACTTCTCCAAGGAAGGAAAATGTGGGATTGGGTCATTTAAAGTTGGAAAAAGAGAATGATTTTTAAGAGAAGAGGAAGTGGGAGGATGGAGGTGTGGTATGGCTGTCTCTGGTGAAATGGGGAAAAACCCCTGGACAGATGGATGAGTGTGTACACCGCATGATTGTTAATATCTGAAACAAACATCCTATCATCTGCTTTCAGCCTAAAATGATCAGATTAATTAAATACATGCTAGAGCGTGGGAACTACTATTTAACTTTAAGAACCGGAGTCCGAATTTGCTTTCCCTCCCTGTGCATTTTTTCTTGTGTGCCCTGCAGGCCGGGGTTTTCTTGTTTTAATTTATTGTTATGTTAGCCCCTCTGGGAGTCTTTTCAGCTGAAAAACAGGGTAGAGATGCCAGAAATAAATAAGGAAAGAAGGACTATCCTCATTAATAAGCAATTGCACATCATTTAGAAGGCCAGAAATTCACATGAAACTTACCTGATACCTGATAAGTGATTAATTTATTAAGTGTAATAAGTATAACATCCGCAACATACATTTAAAGCACTTTTACACCAATAATAATAATAATAATAATAATAATAATAATTTGTTATTTATACCCGACCCACCCAGCCACTCTGGGCGGCTTCCAACAAAATATTAAAATATAGTAATCCATCAAACATTAAAAGCTTCCCTAAACAGGGCTGCCTTCAGATGTCTTCTAAAAGTCTAGTAGTTGCTGTTCTCTTAGCATTATCATTAATTGTTGTTCTCTTGTCATCTTATCATTATTATTAATTATATTTGTTAGTGGCTGAACCCAAAGCCCAGTCAGTAGAGCAAGAGACTCTTAATCTCAGAGCTGTGGGTTCAAATCCCAAGTTGAGCAAAAGATTCCTGTGTTGCAGGGGCTGGACTAGATGACCCTCGGGACTCCCTTCCAACTCTCCAATTCTATGATTCTATGACTTACAGCTTTAATAGTAATGGCTTCCTCAAAAGAATTCTAGGAACTGTAGTTTGTTAAAGTTTGGGGAATTGTCCAGGAGTGGCAGGTGAAGTTGACAGAATACGCAGAATTTGCCAAATTGTCAGGGAGGATCCAGGACCAGGAAGACAAAAGATACCAAAATAATTGGAGTAAATTTATTGAATATTTAAAGGAGAATTGTAAAGAGGTCAAGACACTAGCAGGATTGACATAATACCTTCAATGTATAATAGTACTATTGTGAGAATGATGTGCGCAATAGAAAGGGGTTAAATATACCAATTGCAGGGAGGGAGGGGAGTCGCGACTCGGCAGAGTCAAAGGGAATGTATAGCATTAATATGGTTGGTTGCAAAAGAATATGTAAGGAAAACAATAAAAATTTACTTGAAAAAAAAAGGTTGGGGAATTGTAGCTCTGTGAGCACCCTTAGCAAAGTGCAGTTCCCATGATTCTTCTTGGAAAGTTATGACTGTTTAACTAGTATAAGAGTGCTTTAATTGTATGGCAAATAAGGTGTTCCCAGCTATTTTTCCTAACCAGGCCCTGTGTCTGGTTGCCAACTTTGTTGGTTTGTTTGATAAGATCTCATGGCAGTTCACAGTATAAAATACAGGATTAAAGGTAAAGGGACCCCTGACAATTAAGTCCAGTCGCGAACGACTCTGGGGTTGTGGCGCTCATCTCGCTTTACAGGCCAAGGGAGCCGACATTTGTCCGCAGGCAGTTTTTCTGGTTCATGTGGCCAGCATGACTAAGCTGCTTCTGGCAAAACCAGAGCCGCGCATGGAAATGCCGTTTACCTTCCAGCCGGGAAGGTTTACCTATTTATCTACTTGCACTTTTTGGCGTGATTTCAAACGGCTAGGTTGGCAGGAGAAAATACAGGATAAAAACCAGTAAATAGCTAAAAATAAAACAGCAAAACAATAACCGCCCCCTTTCCACAAACACATTTCAAAGGTTCTGGGTTATTAATCAGTCAAAGGCCTTGTTGAAGAGGAACCTTTTTTTGCCTGGTGTCTAAAAATATATAATGAAGGTACCAGGGGCCTCCCCCTGCCCGGGGAGTTGTTGTTGTTTAGTCGTTTAGTCGTGTCCGACTCTTCGTGACCCCAAGGACCAGAGCACGCCAGGCACTCCTGTCTGTGGCGTTCGTACGGAGCCCCCCGGTCGTCTCACGGACTATTGACCCGTACACCACTAACCCACTGCCACCAACCAGGTCCTCCCTGATAAAATCACTTCAGTCTCAGTCAGCTTTTCAATTCATAAAGAAGAGTGTATTTTATTTCAGACTTAAAACAAAACTATTACAGCCTTGCAAAGAGTGTTCCTCTTTATTTTCTTAGTCTTATGTTCCTCTCTTTTATCTCTGCTACCACCCCACACTCAAGGACCAACTGCCCTAACTGTCTCTCTATTACCAACTGCCTTTCCCAACCAGCCAACCCACTCAAACCAACCAACTACCCACCCACAACTCCCAACGAACTCCTCGGGAACTAGTTTTATAAACCCACTGACTCCACCCCCCTGGGTCCTGTCTGTGCAGCCTATTTAACTATTTCCCCTCCAGCACTCTCTCATATATGGTAACATCACACTGTCTTCCACTGCGTCCCACAGCTTGGTCAAACTCAGGCTGGTAGCTTCAAGAACACTATCCAACCATCTTGTCCTCTGTCGTCCCCTTTTCCTTGTGCCCTCCATCTTTCCCAACATCAGGGTCTTTTCCAGGGAGTCTTTTCTTCTCATGAGGTGGCCAAAGTATTGGAGCCTCAGCTTCACGATCTGTCCTTCCAGTGAGCACTCAGGGCTGATTTCCTTAAGAATGGATAGGTTTGTTCTTCTTGCAGTCCATGGGACTCTCAAGAGTCTCCTCCAGCACCATAATTCAAAAGCATCAATTCTTCTGCGATCAGCCTTCTTTATGGTCCAGCTCTCACTTCCATACATCACTACTGGGAAAACCATAGCTTTTACTATACGGACTTTTGTTGGCAAGGTGATGTCTCTGCTTTTAAGATGCTGTCTAGGTTTGTCATTGCTTTTCTCCCAAGAAGCAGGCATCTTTTAATTTTGTGGCTGCTGTCACCATCTGCAATCATCATGGAGCCCAAGAAAGTAAAATCTCTTACTGCCTCCATTTCTTCCCCTTCTATTTGCCAGGAGATGATGGGACCAGTGGCCATGATCTTCCTTTTTTTGATGTTGCGCTTCAGACCATATTTTGCGCTCTCCTCTTTCACCCTCATTAAAAGGTTATTTAATTCCTCCTTACTTTCTGCCATCCAGGTTGTGTCATCTGTATATCTGAGGTTGTTGATATTTCTTCTGGCAATCTTAATTCCGGCTGCATTCTACAATTGGGGAACCATTTCAGAAATGGGCCGTTCTCATGTTGCCACCCTCCAGACCTCACGTGAAAGTCTTCGGATGGTGAGTGCAGAGTTCGGGGCAGTAAAGGCACAAACAAGTTCAATGAAGGGCAGCCTATGCAATGAGGACCAAATGTGCCCTGCCAGCCCCCCCCACCTTGCAGGGCAGTTTTCCACAGACCACCCACACCTGCCCCACATCTCACACCATAGAACCATAGAATTGTGGAGTTGGATGAGACCTGGAGGGACATCTAGGCCAACCCTCTGCAATGTGGTCCCCCATCTAATCTGAAACCATACATCATATGGTTTCAGTTAAGGAGGGGTGTTGTTTATCCCCCCTCCCAATGGTTCAGTTTTGATAGGTGAGTGCTCCTGCCCAGTTATCAAAATAGACATGCTGAGGTCCGCCGAAGGCATGATGGATAACGGCAACAATCAGGGGAAAGATATGACATCTTACAATAACAGGAAGAAACACCACGGACAGAATAATTGCCACACATAATAATAATAATAATAATAATAATAATAATAATAATAATAATATATTTATACCCCGCCCATCTGGCTGAGTTTCCCCAGACCCTCTGGGCGGCTTCCAACAAACTATTAAAATACAATAGTCTATTAAACATTAAAAGCTTCCCTAAACAGGGCTGCCTTCAGATGTCTTCTAAAAGTCTGGTACAGTGGTACCTCAGGTTACAGACGCTTCAGGTTACAGACTCCACTAACCCAGAAATAGTACCTCAGGTTAAGAACTTAGCTTCAGGATGAGAACAGAAATTGCGCGGTGGCGGCAGCGGGAGGCCCCATTAGCTAAAGTACCTCAGGTTAAGAACAGTTTCAGGTTAAGAACGGACCTCCGGAACGAATTAAGTTCTTAACCCGAGGTACCACTGTAGTTGTTTTTCTCTTTGACATCTGGTGGGAGGGCGTTCCACAGGGCGGGTGCCACTACCGAGAAGGCCCTCTGCCTGGTTCCCTGTAACTTGGCTTCTCGCAACAAGGGAACTTCCAGAAGGCCCTCGGTGCTGGACCTCAGTGTCCGGGCAGAATGATGGGGGTGGAGAGGCTCCTTCAGGTATACTGGACCGAGGCCATTTCCGGCTTCAAAGGTCAGCACCAACACTTTGAATTGTGCTCGGAAACGTACAAGGATATAGTTTGAGATCCCCACTTGTAGTTTTATAAATCTTTTAATGTGTCAACACGAATAGAAGTTATTAATATTGCCGTTGTTGTATGTGGTTATTATTTTGACTGGAATGTAATGGAAACCAATAAGTTTTTGGAACGAAGAATTAAAGCCATCAATTCTAGCCCACGGGGGGCCACTTTATCTACGGTAAATTACATAATTTGGTATTCAAATGATTGTATTATAATTGTATTATAAGTTGGTATTGTTATAATGAGGCTATTATTGGATTGTAATTGAAAACTAATAAAATTTTATATGTGTGTGTGTGTGTGTGTGTGTGTGTATATATATATATATAATTATAATTTTATTTCTTTATTTCCCTATCCCCCTATCCCTATTCTTTATTTCCCTATCCCTATTCCCTATATATATGGAAATAAAGAACCAGCCACTGGGGCATAGAGTTTCCCCGCCTCTGAACTGGACATTCCCCTTGACCTAATACAACCATTTCCCAAAGGGCAACTACAAATGGAAATACTTCCCGCCTCCCCAAACCACCCCCAGGAAAGTCTGGATATACACAGCATCTGTCAACTGCCCAATGTCACTCATCCTGCATTCAACTCATTCCAAATAAGGCATTTCTTATCCTTTCCGCCTCAAATTCAGCATGGCCCACCCTCAAACCCGGCTGCCCTCTGCTGCCAAGTTTCAAATCAATCCGTGAAACCATTTTCCAACTGAAAGTGAAGGATCCGACTCTCACCAACCCCATTTCTCCTTATAATGGCAGAATGTGCAGATGTGGCCAACTCACCCTTGACGTAGGTGAGTCCCTAGTAAAACTGAGGCAGGCACATCCATCCTTAATTTCTTACAAACTTGTAGATTTTAACTGAGGAAACCTTAGAGGGTAAAGGGAAGAAATACTAGTCAGTATAGCTTTAATGTGACAAATGCAATTGCACACAAACTTAACGATTATCTGAGTGGATGACAGCCTATGACTCTCCAAAAGTCCTGCTGCAGCAAGAACAGATGTTTGGCCCTGTATATTCCCCCTCCCTCTCTTTCCCCCTGCTGTGTGTGCTATTTGTGTTTTCCAATGCAACAAGAAAAGACTATAAAAGTTGTTTGCTCGTCTCCCAGGGATCAAATCCTGTCAGAAGAGGGTTTTTTTTTTAAGAGGCAAAAATATTGAGACAGAAAGACCAGCAGAGCCCTAAACTTTTAAAATGTACACCTCCACAATATTTACTCAGTGAAACATACCCTCTACCTTATGTGGTTGCTGTAAAGATTACTGAGATAAACACCGTGAAGTACTCTGGATTCTCTCTCTATGCCTACTTACTACCATG